ACCCTGGCTCAAAACAAAACAAAACACAACAATATAAAAAAACATGAACAAACAAAAAAAAATTAAGGCAAAACTGAGTCATCGTGTTGCAGGATAGACTATATGCGGAATGACCTGAAGAAAAGTAAGGAAGTGATTTAAACTGTATGTATATATCTTTGGGAGAGTGGTTGGAATGGAGCAGATGAAGCTTCCAGGGTGGGAGCAGTCTCCCATTTTTTCACCTGCGGGTGGGTGGGTATATGAGCCTTTGCTGTGTGGCAGTAGGTGATACTACACTGCTTTGCTCTCTATGCCTTTCTTTGGGTTTTTAAGGGGGCAGGAGTCAAATCAAGAAGGAATGGGCAGGCTAAACAGGGCAAGCGCTGCAGAAGGAGGCCCATTGCTAAGGTCTGCTTGTCTGCTTGCTTGCTTCCTTGCTTTGTCCCCTCGGCCATTTCTGAAATCAGGGTGCATCTGGCAGCAGTAGCATGCTAGATGTGTGATGCCACATGGTCGTTCCAAAGCTCTGACCCTACTGGCTGCCTCCCTTTGTGTCACAGGCCTGCCTGAGTGGTGACACTCCCACAGAATGAAGGCTCCCAAAGCAAGTTCCTGCCCCATGGTGGTCAGGAGGGGGAAAGCAAGAAAGGTTTGTTAGACCCCAGAGCATGTCTGGGGAAAGGGAAATACAGCTCCCTACTGAGCCTCATGGCAGCATGGGCTCTGCTGGTACCCACAGGCAGATGCTCCCCATGTCACCGTTCCTCTGTGACCTAGTCAACCACAATGGTGAGATCCACATGAGCTAGAGAGGTGGAAGCGTCATCACAGGTGGCCTTGAATGGAAGAAGTTGCCAGAGATACAAAAGCCAGTACTGGATTAGTTTCCTCTGACCAGAGCTCAGTCTTCAAAGTAAAAGTTACTTCCGTGTCCTTTGAGCTGGAGGAGACAAGAGTTGTGGCAGTATAAAGGGTAGAGTAGGGGAGAGTTGCAGAGGAAGGGTTTTTTTTTAGGTTAGGTTGCAGAGAGAGCCAAAAAACACATATTTAACCCATGTACTTCAAGCCCTTGTCTTGAGTGCTCAACTGGAGGTGTCTGGGAGACCTCTGTGCATCTGCAAGGGTAACATACTTGTTCTGTCAGCCCATTACATCACTCTGAAGTCCAAGAAGTGGGTGCCTTTTCTACTTCCATGTTAATCAGAGAAAGCTAAGGACAAAAGACACAGAACAAGCAGCCACTGGATAGGGGTGGGGGTAAGACTCCGCCCTCTGCTCAGTGGCTCTTCCCCATCAAGCAGCCTTGCCCAGTTGTAGAAGTCTTCAGGCTGGTACTGAGAAGGATCTGGAATTTGCTAGTCAGTCCTTTACCCTTCTCAAGGAAGAGTCATCCACTTGGGGGAGCTGGGGCTTGGGCCCTTCCTTTCCGATGCAGGAGAGTTTCTCCAGCTGGTGAACACAGGACACGGTGCTTACCTCCCCAGATCTCATTTCACTCCCTCTCTTGTCCTTGGCCTCAAGCCTTTCCAGTTGTGCTAAAAGTAGCACTGACTCAATCGTGGTCTGTCCAGGAGCCAAGACTATTTTGACTCTGTCCTCAAGAATCATGTGGTCTGAGGCGTGGATAAGCTGGACTGCAACCCTGGCACATGGCTGTGGGGCCAGGAATGTCCTGGCCCACACACCTGTTTCCAAAGCTGGGCTAAGTGTTTCTATTCATCCACAGCCTCTACCTTGTGCCTGCTGAGGTGCTGCTCTGGGACGGAGGGGTGGTGAGGCCTAGCAGTAAGAGTAAGGGATCTAATATTCTTAGTCACGGAAGAGCAATCAGCGCATATTGGCCAGCACTCATTCTTCATTCTTCCAGTAAGGTGGAAGTATGTCAATCTGTGTTTAAGAGATCCTTGAGTGCCACCAGCAAAGTCTTCTTAGAGACAGGAAGCATAATCCTTCCATGGTAGCCTGGGGGACTTCCCTCTCTGGAGGCTTAAGAGGGGAAGAGAGGCTCATTCGACTGGCTTAATTTAAGTCGTGGTTTAAGGTTCCTGCCTTGAAGGCCCATCTCTGCCTTACTGGAATAGCATAGCTATTCTGCAAAGCCCAGTTGAGGCCCCACCTCCCTTGTAGCCAACCCACTCTTCTTCTATGACCCAAAGAGCCCTGGTATAGACTATCTTCAGTAGAAGTACCCCCGCCACACACACACACCTTTCCTCTCAGCTGTGAACTCCTAACTTGAGCTGACTCTGACTTTTAGCCCTCGGAAAGCAGCAGATATCCAGCCTGGGTAAAGCTGATGACTTACCCAGTTCTGCTCAAGAGCCAACCTCTTCCACATGCCCTTCTTGTGTCTATTGATTCAAATGCTCACACATCATCACTGGAAATGAATGCTCTTCCTAGGACTGGTCTGGGCACTGGTGAAATAACTTCTAAGAAGCCAGAGTTCCCACCCAAGAGCAGACCGCAGCTTCCTGGTGGCTACTTATGTCCCCGTATAATGAGCACAATGCCCTTATTCAGAGGCCTTGGTGACTACCTTGGCCTCAGGGAACGGGGAAAGACCTCCCTAAGGACGTGACCTGTGATAAATTTTCAGTGACGTTCAGAAATACCTGCAGTGGGAAGGTGAGAGATGAGACTTCAGTGGTAGGAAAGTAATGCAGTACATGGAACTGTCATATCGTTTTGTTACGTGGTCAACACACATATGTGGGCTCAGCCTCACGTGGACTGAGCTAAGTATGGATTGAAAATATTTGAGAAAATCGCAAAAGCATATACAGATTAGTTTTCTTAACATTATTTCCCTAAATCGTGTGATACAATGACGTGATTTTCCACGTGATTGTCTGAGGTATCGTAAGTAATCCAGAGATGATGTTCTGCACCCAGGAGAATATGGAGACCATCCATTCCTTTTTGTCTGAGCTTCCGTAGTGCTCAGTGCCCAGCTCTGTGTAGGATGTATATGCTATATACATTGTATATAATTGTAAATATTGTGCCATGTTATAGAATGAGACTGAGTCATCCACAGATATTGCTATCTGTGAGGGTTTCAGAACCAACCTTCTGTGACTAACAAGTGGAGATTCTTTATCATTTACAGATCTGCCAGCCATGGAAAGGAGAAGCTGCTTGGCTCCCTCCTGTGGACCTTGTGAAGTAGGGTGGGAGCATAACCAGGGTCCCAGAGCCCCTGCCTGTCCACCCCTTCAGGGCCTGACATCTCCCCTTCTGGCCTCCCTCTGCTCTGTCCCAATTAGCATGAAATTGGCTATTTTAACACTGTTGTACATTCCTTCTTGTTAGACTCTTAATATTGTACGAATCATAGGGTCAGATGCCCTGGTGTGATGGTCAGGGTCAGAGGTGTGAATTAAAGCAACACATGCTCCTGATTGCTTTAGTCAGGGGACATGAAGGCCTGCTGAGAAGGCTGCTTTCCTTTGTCACTGCTAATGTCAGCACTTCCAAGGCTCCAACACTCCAATTCCTCCCTCCGTGAGCGTTAAACATCTTGCCTGTGTCACCCCGTCCTCACAGAACAAACTCTTTACAAGTATTTAATCATTACATAACTTAATACTGTCTCATTAAATGCCATGCCTGAGGTCTCACAGCTAGCCATTTATAGAGCTAGCTCGTGAGCCCCGATCTCTGGGACTTTAGAGAGCCCAAGCATTTCTTTTCTACTAGCAACACAAACAGAAGAAATGATCCTAGTCTGAGAATGCTAGATGGCTTGGTCCTCTGCCCCCCGAGACCTCCAGGTCTCCTCTGCTGCTAGGATGAATCTATGGTCCCTTCAGACTCTCATGATGCCTACTAAATGTCAAGCCCCTTGTGCCAGAGCCTCAGAAAGCCATAGAAATACATTAACTCAGTGTTGTCTGGCTCCACACACACTGGCCTGAAGACCTTCTTTCCCAGGTTCTCCCTTTGTTTTTGTCTCCTTGTTAGATTTTTTTTTTTTTGAGACCCTCCTGTACACCAAGCTGATCCTCTGCTTTCACCTCTGAAGTGTTGGGATTATAGGAATGAGCCACCACACCCAGACTTTTACTTTCTTTAATGTCACTCAGCTCAGCCATCTTCCTGTGACTCTGGCCACCACATATGGCCTTCTTCTAAGCTTTCACAGTGCTCAGTGCTCACAGCATCTCCACCTTCTCCTGTGCTTTCCTTCATCATTGCTCATCTGTGTGTGAAGGCAGTGGGACACATTCTTAAGTGCTCACTGTGTCCTCATGAAGTGTGGTTGAAGAGTGAGAACTAACATGCAGTCAAGGCTAGACCAAAGAGTGTAAGATTTCAGGAGATATCTGTACCACTCAGCCCTCCCCAAGGAATACAGAGCCACAGTCTGAAGAACTGAGTTGGTACTACCATTTGAGTGACAGTGTATTCTTGACTGTCCTGGAACTCACTCTATAGGCCATGCTGGCCTCCCAAGTACTGGGAGAACAGGCACATGTCACCACCGCCCAGCCCGCCTCATAGTCTGAATTGGTTTGATTAAACAAAGTTAAATGTATGGAAGCATTTCAAAGGGTTAATGGTGATAATGTACCATTGTGTTTATTCTGTCTCTCCAAATGCCTAGTATAAATCTGGACACAGAGTAGATATGAATAACAATTAATTTAGATTGCTTTCACACACACACACACACACACACACACACACACACACTCACATCCTTTTTTTTCTACCTCCTGGAGACCATTGTTGATCCTAGCTCTGAGAAAGCCTGCCTTCCTGAGAGATCAAGAGCGAGTTGGGGGAAAGTGCCTTGCAATCAGTACTGAACTGGCTCTGGAAACCACCACTGCGGCTCTGTGCTGGGGGAGCCTCTCTGTGCGCTCCAGGTCCATTGTCCTCAAGAACAAGCAGTACCCTTGCCCTGGTTTTGGCTCCCTAGCCATGAGTTGTGTCCACGTCTTGGGTATTAACTCCAGGACGACCTGGCCCCCATGTGTGTACATTCCTCATTAGCCCTTCTCTCATTTCAGCACCCCTACCCCACAGAGGATGAGAAGAGGCAGATTGCAGCCCAGACAAACCTCACCCTCCTGCAAGTAAACAACTGGTGAGTTATCATCACATGCCCACAGGCTTTCAGATCCAGGGGCACATGCTTGGCAAGGGAATGCAGAGCAGGGAGAGCGGATAGAATGCCCAGACCTACCTTAGCCTCAGCTCCACTGCCAGTCCTCTTCCCTTGTGGGCTAGATGCAGGGCTGTTCAACTGCAGCTTCTCAGCGCCCTCTGCTGGGAAGTTGGGTCAAGCACATCCCTGGAAACTTCATGACTTTAGAAAAACCAACAGTGCCAGGGAATCTGAGCTTACCAGCCCAGTGGAGAGAGAGTGGAGGGTGTTAAATCAGGTACCAAAAGTGAAACCAGCAGTGGTTATCTGGCCTACTCAACTCAATTTGTGCTGAAACAAAATATATATATATTTGCAACCTAAGGTGGGAAGGAGGAAGGAGAAATGCCTTCCTGAGCCCACAGGGATGTCAGTCTTCTTGTCTGCTTCTGGCCTGCTTGGCTGGAGGGTACTAGACCCTAAAGTTAGGCCCCGGTTATAAGTCTAGAAGTTGGTGATTGTGGCCACAGCTCTTCCTTTCTCTGTTTAATTCTGGGGGATCTTGAGTAGGGATTTCTGACATTTCCTCATGCAATTCTTCCCATGATGCCTTTGATCACCAAGCCTCAGGTAATTCACAAACTCCTCAGCCATAGAGGGCTTCTACCTTTAGACTAGTACACCTGCCTACTGACACCTGAGGGGCAGCTTAACTCTCACGTTTTGCCCAGCCCCAACACCACCCCTGTGTCCCAGATGATGACTAACCAGATCTTCCCCATCACTGCCGGGCAGGTTCATCAACGCCCGGAGACGCATCCTCCAGCCCATGCTCGATGCCAGCAACCCAGATCCTGCTCCCAAAGCCAAGAAAATCAAGTCTCAGCACCGGCCCACCCAAAGATTCTGGCCCAATTCTATTGCTGCTGGGGTCCTGCAGCAGCAGGGGGGCGCCACAGGGACAAATCCTGATGGTAAGACCAGGACTAAGGGTGACCTAGGCTGGAGCTGGTGAAGCTCCTGGAGGGCAAAGATTCAAGGGCTGAAGGTCTCCTTACTCAGGGTCCTGTCATTACTTCTCCACAGTACTTGCTCCTTTTTTATATAAAGCTTACTAAAAAGGGATTGTGTGTGTTTGCACGCACACGCTCGCGCACATTTTTGCTTGTTTTTGTTATTGCTGTTGTTTGTGTTTTGTTTGAGACAGGATCTTGTGTAGTCTGGCCACAGACATACTATATAGCCAAGGTTATCCTTGTTTTCTGATCCTCCCTTCTCTTCCTTCTTAGCGCTAGGATTACAAGTATGAGCCACAATACCCAACTCTCATGTGCCTTTTAACAAACCTAAAGCAAGCTCACAAAAGAAAGGGAGAGAGTGGTCCCTGGTGCCAGTGGCTGCCCAGCAGGGCCCCTTCCTCACTCCTCATACTCCCCAGTCCAGTCAGTATCTGCTTAGCTCTCCAAGGCCAAGGCCGTCTATAAATACCAAAGCAAGCAGCTGGCTTGTGAACAGAGGCCAAGAGAGGCTTTGTTCTTCCAGATTCTCCATCACACTCTCCATATATGCTCTTCAAGCTGCTTGTTTTCTGGTGAACAATGAAGAACTTAATCGGCGAGACATTTGTGAGGTTGGCGCGTGAAGACCACTGTGTGGGCAGTAGGCTGGAGACACCGTGTGCATGTGTATCTTCATGCATATGGCTGTACCCGGGTCACCATCTGTTGAGGTCGACTAGGGGTAAATAAAGGTGATGCTGTTCAAGCTTGCAGAAAATGCCAACTCCGTCAGCACTGACACACTGTCTTGAACCGATGATGTGGCTGTCCGAGGCTCAGTTTCCTCCTCCTCAAAATTGAGGGCTCCTGCTTTACAGAGTAGTTAGAAAGTTAAATATATGGATGGATGGATAGATAGATAGATAGATAGATAGATAGATAGATAGATAGATTACATAGATAGATAAAAATAAAAGTGCTTTCTCTATTCTCAAAAGAGAATACTGAGTATGTAGTGTCCCAGAGTGTTGCTGCCTGGAATGGTACAGGAGAAGTTAAAGAATGGAGAGATGGGAAGGTCCACAACAGTCAATTGTCTCGCTCAGTGTTTGGTGCACTTACAAACAAGCGGCCCACCACCCCATGAGCCAGCCCATCCACCCTGTCCATCACTAGGGTTGCTGGACCTGACCAATAGTCCTTGCCTAGTCCTTACCTTTGTCCTCTCCCATGCAGGTTCCATCAACTTGGACAACCTGCAGTCCCTGTCCTCAGACAATGCTACCATGGCTATGCAGCAGGCTATGATGGCTGCACATGATGACTCATTGGATGGGACAGAAGAAGAGGATGAAGATGATATGGAGGAAGAAGAGGAGGAGGAGGAGGAACTAGAGGAGGAGGCTGATGAGCTGCAGACAACGAATGTCAGCGACCTGGGCTTAGAACACAGTGACTCCCTGGAGTAGTCAGGCAGCCCAGATGGCACTGGTCCCGAACGGGAAAGGAGTGTCATCAGGAGGGTTCAGGGTGGGAGGGAGGGGATATGGGCAGGCAGCACTAAGAAAGTTGGGCCCTGGCTTCCCCGAATCATAGCTTGAAGAAATGCAGAGGAGACACCCTGTTCCTTTCCAATCACCACACTTCAGTGAAAACCTAGTCCCAGACCCTCAGACTGCAGAGCACTCCATTGCGGGGGGCCAGTCAAACTGCCTGTGAAGAGAGACAGAGTGAGATCTGGACTCACCAAATTCCTGAGGACAGATGACACCCATGGCTCCACACGGAAAAGGACTTGAGTTGTTTACAAGCCCTGCCCTGTGAGGAGGACAGGTGCTCTTTGCAGAGTGGACCTTTGCTAAGGGGCAGACTTGGGAGGGAAGGATGAAACAAGGAGAATCTGAGCTCCCTTGAAAGACACTCAAGGACAGGAGGGAGCACAAACACGTCACCAGTGGCCAGAGGAGTAGGAGGGCCTGAGGCAACGTCATGCACTACAGATCAGAGTGGGACACGGACTGCACAGGGCTCCAGCTTGTCCTACCAGGGCCCTGTCTCTTGACTTAGGAGAGGGGGAAGGAAGCCAAAGAGACTCCTTCTGCCTCTCTTAGAAATATATTGTTGGTGGGTCCAACCTGAAGAGGTGAAGAGCAACTCTCCATCTGGGTCAGCTCTAGGACCAAGCAGATGGCAGAACCTAGATCAGGGGCCATATTAAGATGACTTTGGGGACCACGGCTGTCCCTAGGTGATCATGCGTCACGGCTCCTGTAACAATAGGACCATGGTATCTTAGCCTAGACGCTCCCCCTACCCTCAGATGGAGCTCTTCAGATACCCCAGCCCCCTTCGTAAACCCTTAGAGTGGTGGGGCTGGGGGTTCTTCCCACTCCACAGGTCCCTGTGGTAGCCCTCTGCTCCCAAGCTGGCACCACCAGCCTCTAGCCTCCTTCTTCATTCTATTCTCCAGAGAAGGCAGAAGAAACATTGGAAAGAAGCGTTATCCCAATGGGAAGCCGGGGTCTGAAGAAGGGGCTGCTGCTCTTACCTTCAGTACCAACATGGCAGGGGAAGAGTGCGTACCTGATCTGCACGCACCATTGTGCTGGGCACTGGGGGACTGGGGGCTCTTGGGAAGAGGCTTCCTATCGTCTTCCCTCACATACACCTCTGAGCCCAATTTGGAGGGCCCATGATTGGCACCCGCTCCTCCTGTCCCCTCCCACCCTATGACTGTGAAAGACAGGACTGATCATGTGTGTGTGTTCCATTGGGTTTAATGTGATGGGTGTGCAGTTTCATTGTAAATGTGCATTGGCCATCTCCTTCAGTGGTAGGATGTTTGTGGCTATCTGGCTCAACCAGAGGGGATCCTTGAGCCCTTCTGGACCTTCTCCTCTACCTGGTTGGGTGGAGCAAAAGGATAGCCACTTTTCTGAGGTCTCCCGGAAATGAATGTATTTCTCCCCCCCCAAAAGAGCTGATATTTAATGTTTTACTAGGGATTTTTTGAGAAACAAATAACCTTATTTATAATCTGGGTGATCCAATCATTTTTTACTCCCTTTTGATGCCATACATAGAGGAAAAGCAAGCTTTTTTGGCGTGAGACTTTTACAACACGCAGTGGGATAAAACATATTTCCTCTCCTGGTCCATTTTTCTTGTTAAAATACATACGTTCGCACATAACTTCTTCCACTCAGCACCGTGACCAGCACCCTACCCAGCACGAACGTGTGCATTTGTGCACATGGAAACACATGCCTACAGCTCCCTCCCAGCCCCTTCCACCTGCCTAATGTTATGCAACCTCCCTCTGATGTATCCACCAAACCAGTACGAATGTGGCCGCAAAGTTTTCAGTAAACCTTATCACCTACTGAAATGCTGGTGCATAATTCTCTCTTCCTGTGACTGCCTTAGAGGTCCCTACGCCTTCAGTGGGACCCTGGGCCAGACAGAAACTGAAGGCCCAGCATCTACCATATTGAAAATGATCTTGCTCAGAAAGGGACAAAGTCGAGGGCTTTGGGGGTGATCTTTGTTAGCCTACTTGGAGGGAAAGATGGTCCACTTTGGCACATCTGCCTTTTGTGTGTCTAGCTCTAAGACGGTAGAGAGGGCAGAGGAAGCTCTGCACTGCCCTCTCCTGACAGTTCTTCACACTGCAGTCTCGGCCTGACTTCCCCCCTTTCAGACCTTTGTATTTCCCATTGTTGCCCTAGGACTTCATCGTTCAAGTCGGTGCCTCCACGGCCTACACTTCACTCTCATATGCCCGCTTCATTTGTTCCACAGGTGAGAAGTCCTGAAACCTGGAAGGAGGGAGCTGCAGCTTTGACCCTGGCACTATGTCCAGAGCAGGGCCTGCCCCTGAATCCCAGTTGTCATCTTGCACTCCTTAGACTCAGTCCAAGGATGCAAAACACACTGCGGGAACTATGTCCCAAAGAAATTAGACTAGCATAGTTCTGCTCCCCAAGGTTTTTTAAAATCTGGGTGCCATCTTTTCAACCACGCTGCAACTAAGAGTGTTTGTGGTGTGGGTGGTTGTGTTCTACGGAGGAGGCAGCAAGTGTTTTGCATAACCCAGATGCTACCCAACTCAAAAAAGATATCAAAAAAGATGTCTCCTGTGCTAATGACAGGAAGGGGATACTGGGGGTGAAGGGGGCTGGATTTTCTTAGCTCGAAACTAAACTCTGATATTTAGGGTCTAAGAAACTGTTCAGTTGAACTTCTGCCCCCGATGCCCAGTCTATCAGAAAGACCCTTTCAGGCTTGCAAATCCCGCTGAAAGACATAAAATAAGCATCCTTGACCCAGAAGCCCCTCTACTTGGTTAGGTAGGCCAGAGGGCTGGCAGCCTGCAACCTGCTCAGTCTTAATCCTAATGGGCTCACTGTTGTTTCTGCGTCCACTTGTTAAACACCCACACTGTCCTAAGCTCTGTTCTATACACCAAGGATCCCGCTGTGGGCAATGAAGCCCTTCCGGGAGCCTGCCCTCTAAAAGAGTGGGTTAGAGCCACAATCTGATCATTTCGGGACATCGACCTCTCGCTTCACCGCTCAGTGCTGCCAACCAAAGCTGCTCAGGTCAAAAGTGACGCTGAGCTAACATTCTGCTCACAGACATGTTCTGCTCAGACCAGCTGCTCTTAAGATTTGTGCACCAACATGTAGAAGTTGGAAGATTGCACATTTAAACAAATGAGATTCCTAGTATGTTCTGAAGGTCAGTCAATTTGGAACCTACATTCCTGCATGACCATGACTGGGGCAACTGAATAACTGCGACCCTGAAATTCACGCTCCCAGTTGTGATGTACCCCAGGGTTGTGGTAGCCCAGCGCCCAGGCTGAGCTGGGCTGCAGTTATGCTGGGGCTGTCCCTAGTTGTTCTATTCTCTCTGATATCTAAGTGCATTAGAGTGTTTTGTTTGGGGTGTTTCAGTTTGGTTTGGTTTGGTTTGGTTTGATGGTATCAGGGCCTTAAAAATGCTAGGCAAATGTCCTACCACTGAGCTACATCCCAACACTTTCTCTGTGTGTTTAACTTTTGTTTTTCTCAGTCTCACTAAGGTGCCTAGGCTGGCTTTGAACTTGCGTCTTTAATTTGTGATCCTCTTGCCTCATCTTTCCAAGTAGCTGGAATCATAGGCCTATATCACCAGGCCCAGTTTGTACTATTTTTTTGGGAGTTGGGGGGGGAGGGTGTTTTTTGCTGTGTGGCACAGGCTGGACTGGAACTAGTTATGTATAGTCCCAGGCTAGCCCCAAACTCACTGTGCAGTATAGGCAACCTTTACCTCTTCATCCTCCTCTCTCAGACTCTAGTACCGAGATTAAAGATACACACTACTGTGCAGAGCTAAATGGGTGTTTATAAAAAGGGAAGTGTTTCTTGAAACCCAAAAGCAAGGTGGTCCAAAAGGACTCTGCCTTGGAAACGAAACACTGGAGAGAATGCATTTGTGGAAATGTGGACAGCCCCGCCTTTTCTTGCACTTTATGCCTACATCACACTCAGACACCTTCACTCAGTGTCTCACCTGCCATTCTGGCCTTGAGCGGTAACGGAGGGACCATGAGCAGTTCCTCAGCAGCACTGGTCGTAGAAAATGGGCTACAGGAGCCTTCGTGATGATTCAGCTGAACCATCTGCATTGGACGCCTGGGGCTCACATGGCGGAAAGTGTGTGCTGAGACCTGCAAGTTGTCCTCTGACCTCCACACGCATGCTTTGGCGTATGTGCCTCCCACACAAATAAATATTCTTTTTTTGAAAAAAAAGAAAGCAGATTTCAGAGTGGGGCATGTGCGCACACCTGTGCTCCAAGCGCCTGGGAGACAGAAGCAGGAGGATGGAAGAGGTTGAGACCAGTTTGGGCTATATGAAGCGGCTCCACCTAGAAAGGGGGGAGAAAGGGAACGAGAAGGGAAGGGAGGGGAGGACAGAGGAGAGGAGTCTTCAGCTCCTCTTTTAAGTTCCTTCCTACATAGCTTCCATCCTTCTTTTTTCCATATAGGCTCCAACCTCAAAGCCAGCCAGCCATTCATTAAGCTTTCGTAGGTGGCTACATGTACAGCAGCCAGCTTGGGTCAAAGAACAAGTCAGCTTCACAGGCCAGGGGATAAGTACCCAGGACAGCAGAGAGTGCTGACTGCATCATGCTGTGTGCTCCTTGGCATCTGATTTCTAGCCCACAAACGAGGCAAGTTTTATTACACCACTTTCAAGTGTATCTTCTACTTTTATATTTCTCAGCCTCTCTCTGGGCCAATCTCATTTAGCCCCTTTGCAAATTAAATGCATCTCATTAAACTGAACCCATTTAGGACAATGCCCTTCAGGTGTGTGCATCTTTGTACATCTTTCATTTTAAGGCAAGTGTTTGATTTATTTTCATCTCATTAAACTCTTTAAAATTATGTGCATCTCATTACACTCAGCACACTGCGATGACTTATTTCAGGTGTAGACATTACACCCAGAATTACCAGGCAAGAATATGATTTCTTTTTGTTTCATTACAAGCCTTACAATTTATGTACATCTCATTACAATCAGCCATTTAAGACAATTCCCTTCAGTTGTATGGCTCTCATTATACCTTTTCATTTTCTGATTTTTTTCATGTTATTTATTCAGAGAACTCACTTCAGGTGTGTATGTGCCTCATCATCACCTGTTATTCGTGTGAATTTCTGAGTGGTTGTTCGCATCATTGCATTGTAAAATGTTTATTCTATCAAAACTCTTGAAGGCCAGATATGCCATCTTATGGGTCTCTTATGGTGGCACAGACAGAAAGGTTTAGTCAGGACTCTGCCAGTAATTCCCCTTATTACACAGAGACCATCAAAATCAATGAACTGTCCTCATTTTCACACTGAGGAGGTAGGTGTTATCTAAACTCCCTTTTGCTTGATATCCATGAAACTGCAATGCTGTAGATGATGGCTCAACAGTTCTTGGCTTCTCCTGAAGATGCTGCACAGATATACCCACCCAAGCTGAGGAATTAGATGAGCACTACAACCCAGCTCTCAACATCTAGAAGGCCACATCCATCCATCCGTCCACCCACCCACCCATCAATCCATTACTGGTGATGGAACCTGAGCTCCGTCTCTAGGCAGATGCGTCACCACTGAGCCACACCCACAACTCATGCTCTCATTTAGGCTGAATGGAGTGTGTACCCTGGGGACACCATTGGAATCTCCCCAGCTCCCTCCAGCCTACTAGCTTTTGATCTCTCTCCTCCAATCCTATCCTGGGGATTCTCAGCTGGAGTGCACCTTAGAATTGCTCAGCAGGAGTTCCAGAGTTGCAAATAAAGATATTTCCGAGTCTGGATCTGTGGGTGCATGTTCAACAGCACCTCTGAGATTCTCAGCTTCTGAACTTGATTCACAAAAGAATCTTCAGGGTGGCCACTTGGAGCTGAAAATGCCGGATGCTCTCAGCATTGTCCTACCAAGTTTGTGTTTGCAACTCAACAAGAGTCAAAGTGAATAAACAAAATCCCAGACAGGGACCTGTGGGTCAGTGAAACGGCTCACCCATGGCATATACGAATCTCAGGTCTGCACACTGAGCATCATTTCTCTTCCCCCTCACAGTGCCCATTGCCTTCCAGGGCCAAGAATGCCATCTCACTACACCGAGACAGCACATCCCTCCGTTCTCCACCCCAGATGTGAGAGCTGAAGAGGGAGGAGTTAAGAGCGCAGGTGCTGAGATGTTGCCTGACCATGGGGCTCATCTGCTACAGGAGAGCTTCCCCACAGAGAGTCTGGGGTGCTTCTGGGTGTCTCAAATTCAGCTCCAGTCTCCAGTTGTTCCACCCAGTCCTGACACTGGATCCTAACTCAGGCAGCAGCCCCAAGGAACTCTGGGCTGCTTTGTCTGCTTCCTTCTCTGTCATTCCACCTGTCTCCTCTGCCAGTGAGAATAGAACCTACTCTCTAAGCTCAGAATAACTCTGACTTGACACCCCTCCTCTTCTTCCACTTCTTGGACTGAACCTGCTGAGGCATCAAAATGCATGCGCCTCCTGCCTGCTGTTTCATCTCCTTGTCCCCAGACCCGGGGAACTAGAAGTTCCACAATCAGCACCCAGGCCTCCCTGACCTCTCACCAAGCAGGCTTTACGATGGATAGAGTTGGGCACCATTGCTCAAACCTGTAATTCCAGCACTTAGGAGGCATAGGCAGGAGGCTCCGTAACTCAGTGGCAGCCTTGGTTACATAGAAAGTTTGAGGTTAGCTTGGACTACGTGAGACCATATCTCCAAAAAACAAAACAAAACAAAACAAAACAAAACAAAACAAAAAACCCAAACTAATAACAGCACAACAAAACTAATTAAAAATTAGTTTTTCACCAGGCATGGTGTTATACACCTTCAATTCCAGAGGCAGAGGCAGAGGCAGAGGCAGAGGCAGAGGCAGAGGCAGAGGCAGAGGCAGAGATTCTGTGAATTCAAGACCAGCCTACTCTATATAATAAGTTCCAGGCCAGCCAGACCCACATAGAAATTAGTTTTTAGGTTGGGAGTGTGGCTCAGTGGAAGAGCAAATGTTTAGCATGAACTCAATCCCAGCCTGAAAATAAAGTTATTTAACACAATATGTAGTGCAGCTAAGATGTGAGTCCAGGGTCAAACCCATACTCTTTTTATGAGACAATCTGCCTCCCTAAACCTTGGCTTGACCAGAACCAGCAGCCTTTAGGGCTAAGGGAGGAGACCTTTCATCTCTGAAGTCCTAGGAAGTGTTTGCCTCCCTGAACATGCCCTCACCTGTCCCCTACAAAGGGCCAGGGATGACACATCACTTAAAGATGTTGGCTGCACCCTCCGTCTGCCGTCCTGCAGCAGTCTCCCTTTGGAAAACAGCAAGACAGAACCCATGTCCTCTGAACTTAGCAAACTGCTTTCCACATATTTCTGCTGAGCTGGTGGGAGGGGGAGTCAAGAAGTTGATCTTTAAAGGAAAAGCTGCTTGGGATGGAGGAGTGGGCCAGAGCACCTTGCTGATGGTAGTACATATGAGGTTTAGAAATCTGTGTGTTGAGTCCAAGTGAGTCCAGTGACAGGGTCTCCCCCCTGACCTGTGTAGGAAGCTGACTCCCCTCTCCCTTGCTGGGTGGCTTTCAGGGCTGACCCTGGGCTCAAGATGGAAGAACAAGGCTCTGGGAGCTTTTGGGACAAATTGGCTTAGAACAGGTGCCCACACAGAAAGGGATGTCAATGAGAGCAGAGGACTGGCCCAGGGGCCTGGGGCCCTGTGAGACCCAGCGACATGAGTGGTGGAGGATAATGAAACAATTCTGTTCAAGGGAAAGAGAGAACAAAGGATGAAGTGAAAATATGCTGGACTGGACTTCTCGAACACCTGACTCCTCACTTTTTACAACCTATGATTCATTTTCCTGTTCTGGGACATGTGGGGGCAGGGAGAGCATGGACAGTGTGGGAGGAGGAAGGAGGAGAGAGGGGGAGGGGGGAGAGAGGGGAGCGAAAGGAGGGAGAGAGAGAGAGAGAGAGAGAGAGAGAGAGAGAGAGAGAGAGAGAGCTTGTGTCCCAGGGGTTTTTTTCAGACAAAGCTATTATCGAAATGCCAACCAGCTCCTGCCTGGCCGATTTGCATATTCCATGCTGAGCTCTTGGAAGCAGAATGAATATGCATGAGGGCTTGGGTAGGATGTGGGGCTGTTGGGCTAAGGTGGCTCATTGTTCTTTAGAGAAGCTAGGTGGTGAAAAGCCAAAGCACCTTCCAGGTCAGCAGAATGGCCTATGCTTTCCCTCCCAAAGGAAGGAGGAGACAAAATCCCAGGCTCAGACAGAAATCGAAAAGATGATGATCCTCTCGGCCTCACAAAGAAATACATAATCAGGCGCCATCAAAAATGGGAGTGTCTCTTCTCTAAAAGTAGCATATAATTACTCCCCTCTCATGCATGCTAATCACGGAGGCTGGCTCAGGGATGAGAGCTGTCTCTCCTGGCTTCTGGGAAATGAGGCTCCTCTCCCTATTTCTTGCTTTCTGAACAGGGAAAACTGGCACTCTGGGGGTGCTCCAGCGTTTACCGCCTGTGTAGATCCTATAATGCTCTCAGTGACCAGGCTGTGGTGGGAGAGCCTAGGGCACGGTGGGCTCTCAGCAGTGCCCACGGAGTGGGTTCAGTCAAGTAACTGAAGATTTAAGTTAGGATGCATCTTAAGACAACTGGTAGGTGCTAGGGGTATAGATGAGTGGGAAGGGCATGCCTGTCTTGGGCAGGCCCTGGTTTGATGCTAAGCATACACACGCCTTACAGCAGAGGACCGTGCCTCCTCACTGACAGCCCACAGCCCTCTCAGACCACTGCCTGAAGACGATTCTACGCCAGACCTCGTAGTGAGAGTGGGAAAGGCTTGTTTTAGAATTTCACAGAAAAATTCCAATTCATCCTACACAACTTGAGGCCAACAAATCAGTTGTCATTTTTTTTTTCCTTCCTGGATAATCATGACCGTTTCCCACCCTAAAACAGACAGATAAAGAAGGTTGGAGAAACGCCCACCCCCTCCCACCCCAGCCCCAGCACGTGCTTCTATTCCACATAATTAAAGGCGGGCCTCCAGCACCATAATGACTTTTCTTCCTGGGACTTGATCAGACTAGATTTTGAAAAATCTTTTAATGGGAACACGGTTGACTTCCCAGCCACCCTACCACTAATCTACCTGGGAGGGCTCCTTAGAAATGGGACTCTTCACTACCTAGACTTGATGTGGGTTTTATGGGGGAGTGTGATGGACCCTGAAATGCAGCGCACCATCTGGGCTTCCCCTCCACCCCAAATTGTTATGGCATACCAGAATGATAAGCAGAAGGGAAGCCTAGGAAGAGCTTTTCTTTTTCCTTTTTCTTTTTTTTTTTTTCTTTCTTTCTTTTTTTTTTTTTTTTCACCTCTTAACATTGAGCCTTCCTTAGGTTCAGGCACCATTCAGAGATCTAACAACTCTGAAAACTTCAAGCAAAATGTTCTCAAAACTTGATGTAAACACTAGCTATGGGGAGGGCTTGTTTGAGGTGGGCTTGGGTGAACCAGGGAGTTTGTCTCTGTTCTAGGTGTGGTCACCTAGTTCTGCTGGACACCAAACCTTGACTCACAGGGAGAGAGGGAAGGAAGGGCAGGTAGTACAAAATCTTGAGGGATGGCTTACACTTACACTTTCCCTCTCAGAAAAGGTGAGAAAACCAAGGCACCCTTCTCCCTCTCTTCCTGATAACCTCCTCCTGGAATGAGAGGGTCCCAGACACTTGAGGTTTATTTTTAACCACCACTGGCTTTGATTAGCTTGCCTCCGGCTGCTTCAGACACCTGCTGGCAGGATAAATTGGGGAAGAAGAAGTGGTTGACCCAGATCGGATAAACCCAATGCAGGAAGCAAAGCTCAGGGTGGGGTGGGGTGTCACTAGTTCCCCTTTGCTGAAACTGATGAAAAACCCAACACCGGGCAAAATGTTAAACTTCCCAGTGATGGCATGCCACCAGTGACCTCTGGCTTCTATAGCTTTGGGGCTGATGAGCTGCAGAATTGAAGTCACCTTTTATTTGTCAAAGGCCTGGTATCCGTGTCAGTGTACAGGTTTCTGATGATTTTTGTTTGTACCTTGTAGCCTCTTCCACCTTTTGTGGCAGCCCTGGGGGTTCTCTGTATAGCCTGGTGCTGTGAGCCCACATGAGGGAGCT